ATTAGCTCTCTCATTTTCAACAATTTTTTTCTCCCATCCCACACCAGCCACCTTCTCTTATAGTTTTACTCTATTTTTGTCATTTTCAAAAATTGGGTTACTTCCTGGTCTCAATTTTAAGTATCCACTCTCAGATAACCAACACCTCTTTTTCCAGCTTACTCTACTAGCACCCTCACTCCAGCAAATATTTGACACGATGATGACCAATCTATCATTCTTTTTAAGAGGAAACAGGATGATGATTTATATATCCCACCTTCTTGTTCTTTCCCTTCTTACAGAACCTAATTATGTTGGATCAAAATAAGCACATATTTAAATGACATTCAAGACTGTGATTTTATGACTTGAAAAGCCCTATCCCTGCACTAAACCAGCAGCTTTCTTCATGGAACTTTTCCTAGCAGCTGAATGTGTATAAAATAAAACACAGCTATGCTAAATAGTCTCATGGGGTGGATCCTGGTTTGGTGGACCCTAGAGGTTATAGCATATGGGGGCAGTAGATAAAAAGAATAGATAGTCACTTGAATACCACTTGACAGAGGGTACCTTATATTAGAAAGAGAGAATGATCTTCATCAATTGTGATTAAAAATATCTTGTTTCTCAAACTTTATAAAAACATATGACCATGTGGAAACACTGCTAGGGAGACACTCAAAGAACTTTGAAAGGGGCTGGGGCCAATTAGAGGCCCTCATGTTTAAACTACATTAGCAGCACCATAAATTTACTTCTGAATACAACTTAAATTCTATGGCCATAAATCTCAAGTGATAATTCAGCACAGCCAAGAAACTTCTAGACAATTCAGCTTTTCTGATGACTCTTATATTTTCTCCCTCTATTCAATCCTAATATCCATATTATCCTCATTTTAAACAAATCATTTTCTTCATAGGGAGTATAGATGTATATCTATAATCAATGAGAATTACCTCAATCTCTTGCCAGCTTACTCTTGCAGAATATAAATATTTTCTCTTTCCCATGAATCACTATTTCTCTTTAACAGCACATGAGTTTTGCGTGATACTGCTCATGTAATAAAGTATGAAAACACAAAATAAAACTTTGTCCTGAAACTTATATCTTTCTATTTTTTTGTAGCAAATCTTAAAAAAAAAACACATACATCTATTTCTGTGAACTCACATTCAATTCTCTATTGAATCGACTAAACCAGGCTTTTCTCAGTGACATATTCTGGATCCAGTGTCAATTTTTCTCATTAATTTTAATTTTTTATGTTTTCTTCCTTAGTTTTGCTTGGTAGGACATATGATGGCATTTTGGAAATAAATTCTTTTTAAATAATTTATCTTTTCTTTCTGGGAACTTTAGAAATTTCTTATTTCAGAGTTCTAAAATTTCACAATTTTGTTTCTAGCTATGTGTGTGTGTATACTTTTTCAGCTTAGCATAAAGTAAGACTCTTCAATGTGATGATCTGTTGCTTTTTGGTACTGAATTTTTGGGGGTACAGTTTTGCTATCTACACCTGCTACCTATTATCCTATTTCCTATCCTAAGATGTTCTGATAGGTGCCTGATAGTTTATTTGTCAATTGCTTCCCATAATTTTGCATTTTTATTATGTATTTCGAGAATATATAATCAGAGGCATTGATGTAAATAAACATTTCATTTCTTGTTGGATTGTTTCTTTTATTATCTACTTTTACTTTCTTTCTTATTTGTGGTTTTCTCATTAAATTATATCTTGTAATATGAATGTTGTTGTGTTAATGTTTATTTTCAAATTTTTTGGGTGATTTAGTCCCCAGTATTTATTTTTCAGGCAGCAGTGAATCTTATTTTTAAAACATAATCTGATGATTTTAGTAGGTATACTTGCAATATGTGTATTATGATATGCCTAATTAGTGACACTAGTTTTAAAACATGTTTAAATAATTATAAACATTTTAAATAAATCTGGAATTATTTAGTTTTTCCATTATCCTCCTGAGCATTACACATATTTTTGCAAAAAATTAATTACTATTAAACATCTTTACACTTGTTCTATTTTTTAAATAGTTGTCTGGTGCCTTAGTTTCACTTTAAAATGATAATTTTTCATAATCAATATTTATATATGTTTGCTGACATTTCTCATTCATTTTTGTTTTTATATATTCTTATTTATCCTCTTGGTTCAGTTTCCTGTGGCTAAAGTGATTCTTTAATAGTTATTTTAATAAAGGATTTCTGGTAAATTTTCTTAACCTACACCAATTTAGCTCATCTATCTTGAGTAATAATTTAGCAATGTATGGAGCTATAGGTTCACATTTATTTTTGCTTACATTTGAAAGTAATTTTCTTTTGGCATTTATTATATCACTTTATGTGCCCTTGATAAGTATCTGTAATATTTTGCTATTTTATCACAGTATCTGTAGCTATAGATTTTTTATTTTTATAATGTTTAGTATTCACAACCCATTTTGTTCTCTGGTTTGTGGTCCTACTTTTTTCTTGTCTAGAAATTGTTCTCCTTTTAAACTAATCATCTTCACAGGGAGTATAGAAACTTTCTCTAGTCTTTCCACAACATATCTTATTATTGTTCCTTCTGCATGCTCAACCACATACCACACATTGATCCCACTCCACTTAATGCATGGACTGTTTGTGTTCCACAAAATGAATACATGTATAAACATGCACACACTTATATACACATACATACACAAAGATAAGCACACATATACACATATGTACACAGTAAACATAAAACATGCATATACACTAATACAAATATGCATGTGAATACAAACATAAATACACATAGACTCAAGAGTATACATATACTATGTATAGACACAAATGTGTCACACATATATATTGTGTATGGTTGCACACACACACACACACCCCACATTTTTTGTGCTGCTTTTTGAGTGAATATCTTAGTACTTCATTCTTGTCTATTAATCCAAAACTCTCTTTGACTCTTCTCAGTTTGGAGATTTTGGTTCTATTTCAAAACTATTTTAATTATTTCTGTCCCTTATTTCTTTTAATCTTATAAACTGTTGTCTTCCCCATCTACCTATTTTTGTCTAATTTCTGCTGTGTGTCAAAATTTCTTTTCCTTTTACAAAATTAGTTATGCCTTTACTTAGATCTTTGAGCATTTTAAATATACTTGTTTAAGTTCTTTGTCAAAATGTTTCATGAAACCAGTATCACCTACAGTGGATCGGATTCACACTGGTTGCTAGGTCTTGGAAACAATATATTTCTTAATATGTCTTGGTGTCTTTTTTTGAAGCCTTTCATTCTAAATAAGCAGGTCCCTTTCTCTCTCTGTCTCTGGCTCTCACACACATGTAACACATGCACATACATAGACACACACCCCTGTCTTTCTTTCATACACACACATCTTCTTCTTCATCTCTCTCCAACTAAAATTATGTCATTGCTTCTACCTCACCCTACTTGGTCCCAATTCACCAATATTTAAATTCTTCCAGTTACAGTCACCTTTTCTGATTCCTGGTGATCATCCAAAGATGATATTGGGGATAACATTATTGCAGTTACTGATTCAATCTGCAGCTTGGTTGAGTTATTGGTCTCAGGATCTGTTCTCCTCAATGTCTTCGCTCCTTGCTCTCTATGTATCTTTAGTCCTAGTCAGCAAATGATCCTTTCACATCAAGCACAGCTCATGCAAAGCCCTGCCATGAGTCAGTGAACCTTGCACTGGTCACTCATCTGGTGGAAAACCTTCAGCTAGTTTTATGCTTCTCTTCTACTCCTGCTTTGATTTTTAACCCCATTTCTATTCTACAGAGATGGTTAACTTGTTTATGAGCCTTAGCTATGTGTCCTGCATGCCTTGAATGTATGTTTATTTTTATTTCTACATCATTCTTTCATCCTGTTTTGGAATAGGTGAGAATGAGGGATCAGTGCAGCTCATGATAAGCTGATTTGGCCACATGAATTCAATCTCCTCTGTGTTCTATTAAATGAGAGCATTCATGTATATTCACCCCAACCTCTTGAGCAGGGCTACTTGAATGAAGTATGTTCTTCAACTAAGTGTCATCAATCGAGGAACATATTCTCAGACCCATCCTATATCTACTGAAGCTCATTCTGAGAGTGAAGCCTAGGATGTGACTTTCAAAGCTCTCCTCATGATGTTTATGTATATACAAGCTTTAGAAATACTGCTCCAGTTAATATCCATAGTTTGCTTTCTGGTTGCATGTTAGGATCTCCTGGAGTACTTACAAATAGTGACGCTGGAGCTTTACCCCACATTGATTATATATTATTATAAGCCTAGTAATCCCTTCAGAATTTTGGAAGCAGAAGTCTTATTAAATCATTTGCAAGTTATTATAATGCGGAGTTAGTATTGAGAATCATTGCTTTATTCAAGTGGCTCTCAATAGGGATGATTTTGTACCTTCAGGAAATTTTTGGCAGTGGCTGGAGACATTTTCAGCTGTTATAACTGAAACAGTGCTGCTGGCATCTAGTGGGAGATGCTGCAAAACATATCACAATGCACAGGACATCCCCCCTACAAAAAGAACTGTGCCACTCAAATGTCAATAATATTGAAGTTGAGAAACTTTGCCCTAGAATACACTTTGGTTTTTGTTTAGGCTTTTCCATTGAACATATTCTCTAGTAAAAACACCTTTATGGAATTCAAAAAGTGAAATGGAAAGGAGTATAGAAAGGATTTTGAATGTTCAAAAAGACAAGCAACCATATTTCCCAAGCTTTTCTTACTGATGCTTTTACACTTCTGAAATTGGAAACAGCCTGACAATTAGGGTCACCATCAGAAGTAGCAAAATAAATGGAGTCCAAGGACATATGTTCTGTATTCAAGTTTTTCTTACTTATCCAGCAGTAAGTAAAATATGATCTTGTTCCTTTTTTACTATTATTAAATGTTTGTCTCACTATATGTGCTTTTGAAATAATCATATTAATTTTTTGCTTTATTTTTACAGTATAAAGAAAAGATCAGAACATGAGTCTGCAATAAAATCTTTGACAAAAGTGAAGTTAAAGAATGATAAACATCTCAAGAACATCCATAAGGAAGCTTATCGCATCGTTACTCTTTTTCACCTAAGCAAACACAAAACAGATGAAATGGAAGATAAGATAGCAGAAGTGAGAAGAAAGTTCAAGGTTGTGTATCTTTGTGTTCCTCTTACTTATGATGAAAAGCGAGTAATTTACCTAAATTGTATCGATTTAATCTTGATAATTAGATTTTAATTTAAGGGTTAATAGTCTTTCAAAAAGTCACTTCTTATAAAAATGAAGAAAACCACCTCTCTCCAAAGGCTCAGCTTGAATAGAAGAGGTTGAGGGCTCAATGTAGCTAATCCAAACTTGTTTCTACTTTTTGCTATTATCAACCATAAACGACTTGGAGCACCAGGAGTGTGGTGCTCAGTTCAGTTTTATCCTATATATCTAACACATAATTTCGGCCTGTAATAGGAAGAAGGGATCCTGAGAGGTGTTCATTTACCTTATGTAATGTAAGAATAGGAAGTACCTCTAGTAGGCCTATGAGTTTCTGAATTCTAGAGAACCCAGAAATTTGTAAACCACATTTCTGGCAGAAATAATTGCTCACATGCTTCAAACCCACTCCTAAGTAAGAGATGTATTGAATAGCAGCTCTCTGCCATTTGTGGTAGAGACTTTGCATCAGTCCATTCTCACGTTGCTGTGAAGAAATCCCTGAGACTTGGTAATTTATAAAGAAAAGAGGTTTAATTGACTCAGTTCTGCATGGCTGAGGAGGCCTCAGGAAACTTAAAATTATGATGGAAGGCATCTCTTCACAGGGTGGCAGGAGAGAAAAAGCTGAACAAATGGGAAAGCCCTTTATAAAACCATCAAATCATATGAGAACTTACTATCAAGAGAATACAGTACAGGAGAACTGCCACATGATTTAATTATTTCCACCCAGTCCCCACCCTTGATATGTGGGGATTATTACAATTCAAGGTGTGATTTGGGTGTGGACACAAAGCCACACCACATCAAACTTGCAAAGTCCATCCCACTTTACTGCACCTGCAAGGGCCACTTCAACAGGCTGCTTTCACCCATCACACACACATACATGTCTTCTGTCTTTGCCATTTTCTTATTGAAGACTTATGAGCAAAAAAAAAAAAATACATAGAAAATGTACAGTCTGTACATCATTTCCAAGACCTGTCACTAGCACTATCTTCAATGAATACTTTCCTTTGTGATATCTAAATTTAGGATGTGTAAATTTTTCTGTACTGAAAGTCTGGGGTGTTGTTTCCACATTGAATCCAGCTGTTCAATTGACCTATGTTCTCTCCCAATGGGTGTTGAATGAGTTAATCATATCTTCTAAGATATAAGTTAGTAAGCAAAGTAAACATGCATAGGAAAAAAATTAAAATTCAAAGCATATAATTATATGATTTAGCATATGCAATGATGTTGTATATGTTTATAATTTTTTTAAAAATTAATATATTTCTATATAGTGATCAGTTCATTTTTTTCTTTGATTATATCAATGAAGATATCATTATCCACTTACCGGGCCACTTAACTGTGTATTTTAATTTTTCTAATTGACTGGAAGCTCTTGTCATCTTTCACATATTTCCCCAGGGCTATCACAAACTACATTTAATTCTTAAAACATATTTCTTTATTTATCTGAGGTACTCACTTATGAAAGAGATGTTGCATAAGAGGTTATTTATTTTTCCCTATATTTCGATACCATAAAATAGAACTTACAGATTCAATGCAAGTTTGATATGACTCTATTGAAATTGCTTTGCCAACCTATAATAGAGTACCCCCCTTTTCTGTTATTTTTTATTTTATTTTTTAAATTGACATATAGTAATTGTAGCTATTTATTGGATACACAGTGATATTGCCATACATGGAGAATATAGTGATCAGATGAGGGTAATTTAAAAAATCCATCATCTCAAACATTTATCATTTCTTTGTTTTGGGAACATTCAATATCATCTTTCTAGCTATTTGAAACTGTATATTATTTGGTAACCATAGTGATCCTAGAGTGGTATGGAACACTAGAACTTATTCCTTTGTCTCTCCATCCTTTAGTATCCTTTAAAAAATCTGTATCTTCTACTTCCTCCTACCCACTCCACTTTTCAGTATTCTTCATTCTACTTTTTATTTTTGTGAGATCAGTTTTGGTTAGTTTTCACATACTAATGAGAATATGTAGTGTTTAACTTTCTGTTCCTGAGTTACTTTATTTAACATAATGTCCTCCAGTTCCACCTGTGTTTCTGCAAATGACAGGATTTCATTCTTTCTTGTGGCTGAAGAATAATCCATTGTGTATAGATACCACTATTTGTTGCCCATTTATCTGTTGCTGAACACCTAGTTTGATCCCATATCTTGGCTATTGCAAATAGTGCCACAATAAACATGGGGATACAGATGTCTCTTTAATATATGAATTTTGTTTGGATGAATACACAGTAGTGGGATTGCAGGATGATATTGTACTCCTATTTGTAGTTTTTTGAGGAACATCCATCCTGCTGTCCATAATGTCTGTCCTAATTTTAAATCCCACAAACAGTATATGAATTTTCTACATCTCACCAGCATTTGTTTTTTCATATTTTTTATACTAACAATCCTAACTAGAGTTTGATGATACAGTTGTGGTTTGGATTTGCATCCCCCTGGTAATTAGAAATGTTGAACTCTTTTCATATATTTGTGAGCAACTTGTATGATTTTTAAAAAAATATATTTCCAGATCATTTGTCCCTTTTAAAATCAGATTTTTTTTTTTTTGCCATTAAGATGTTTGAGTTCCTTGTGTACTCTGGATATTAATCTCCTAATGAATTAATATATTAGAAATATTCTCTCTCATTCTTTAGGTAATATTTTCACTCTGTTGACTGTTACCTTTGCTGTGCAGGGGTTTTTAGTTTAATATAATCTAATTTGTTTATTTTTGTTTTTGTTGCCTGTGCTTTTGAGGTCTTATAAAAATTATCCTTTCTTGGGCCAATGTTCTGAAACATTTCTCCTTTGTTTTCTCCTAGTAGTTTTGTAGTTTGGTGTCTTACATTTAGGTCTTTGACCAATTTGGAGCTGATTTTTGTATAGAGGTCTAGTTTCATTATTCTGCAGGTGGATATCTAGTATTCCTCGAACTACTTATTGAAAAAACTGCCCTTTCCCCAATGTAGGTTCTTGGTGCCTTGTCAAAAATCAGTTGGCTGTATATATGTGAATTAATTTCTTAATTTTCGGTTCTGTTTAACTGGGCTATGTGACTGTTTTTATGCCAGTACCATGCTATTTATTTTTTAACACAGCTTTGTACTGAAGTTTGAGGTCTGTTTTCTACATCTTTTTATTTTCTTCTTCTGGAATGCCCATAATACAAATATATGTTCATTTATGCTGTCCCATTAATGGTGTCATTCTATTTAGTTTTTTTCCTCTGTCTTGTTATTTCAAAAGACTTGTTTTCAGGTTAATAAATTCTTTCTCCTTCTTGTACTGGTCTATTATTGAAGCTCTTGATTCTATTTATTAAATTTCATTTACTAACTTCTTCAGCTCTAGTTTTGTCTTTTAAATAATATCTCTATCTTTGTTGGATTTCTCATTCAAATCATAAATTGTTTCCTGATTTCATTGAACTATGTATTATCTTTTATCTGAGTTTCCTTATGATTATTATTTTGAATTCTTTTTTTCTGGCATTTTATATATGTCTTTATTATTGGGGTATATTACTGGAGAATTATTGTGTTCCTTTGAAGGTGTCGTTTTTCCTTCTTTTTCGTGTTTATTGTGTCTCTATGTTGATATCTGTGCATCTGGTGGGACAGTTGGTTCTTCCAGTTTTGTGGAGTAGTATATGAAGGGAAACTTGTTCATATTGATAAGTCTTGGGTATCAGTTTTGTAAAGTTCATTGTATTTAGTCCCAGGTGGATACAGTAATGTAGTCTCTACATAGTTTCTTTAGCTGTAATCTATGCTAGTGGCATTTGCAAGTGTCTCACTTGCCTAAGTGAGGTAATTTGTGGTGGCGTGACTTTGCTAAGAGTGGACTCACTGGGCTTTTTCTCAGATCAGGGACACATGTGCACATGCTGGGTCAGCTAACTTAGGGTCTGGCTCACTGGGGTTGAGACCACAGGGCTGTTACTCTGCCTGGAGGCATGGGCATGTAGTTGCTCAACTGCTGCAGGTGTACCTTCAGGTCGGCCCATGTTTGTTTTTTGTTTTTTTTTCCCCTCAGGCCTGGGACCAGGCTCACAGCCATTTGGCCAACCTAGAGTCATGTCTGCCAGGGGTGGCCTGTGGGGCTGTTTCTCATGCCCAGCACATGGCCATATGGTTTCTTGGCTGACCTGGAGCTGTGTCTGCTAGAGGTGCCCCATGGTGTTGTTTCTCAGGTCCAGAACATGGGCACACAGATGCTTGTTTGGCCTGAGGGCATTTCAGCCAGGGGAGGCTCATGAGGCTATTTATTGAGACTCAGATATGGGCACAAAGCTGATCAGCTGGCCTGGCAGCTTCTCTTCTGTGGAAACACATGGAGCCATTTCTCAAGCCTGGAACATGGCTGTATGGTTTCTTGGCTGGCCTAGGTGCAGGCTAGCTGTTTATTGGCTCAGAGACCTTTCCTGCTCAGAGCTGGACATGCAGCAGTTTGGCTGGTTCAAGGAGGGGTTTTTCCTGAGTGGGACTCAGATCCTTTACCGGAGGTTGGGGGTTGGTTTCCATGATGTACATGACCAGAGTCACAGCCAATCCTGGACCTAGGCTTCACCCAGCTAGTGTTGTGGTGTGTAGCCATGTGGGCTTGGAATGAAGATGAAGCCCCAGTGCTGCAGAGGTGCAGTGGTTACTGACCTCCAGAGGAGAGCACGCTTTAGAGGTGGCTGTGGTATCAAGATAGTGCTGTGCTGCAGCAGCTTGGCTCACAGGAGGTGGATGGGGGGTGGGGAAGTGCATAAGTTGTTCTTCTAATTTGAAGCAATACAACTGTGTACATTTTCAGCAGCTCTCCAAACTGGGCTCAGGACTTACAAGGACTGTGGAATTCTCTTGTAGTAAATACTGTAGATATTTACAATGGCAGTGGGGGCT